TCTGAAGTGAAGACGTTCTCTGAATAAATGGACAAACTGAGATCTTCAAATGAACAACACATTCTTCCTCAGGTCAACTTTGCAGAGAAAGCAAATATTTCAGGAGAGTATGGTTACTGCTCATAGCTCTCTGGAGCCAGCCTGCAAACTCCTCTGCGGTGGCTGTAAATCTGATGGTGGTTCAGTTTAAGGACCTCGCAGATGCTATTTCAAACTGATATAATGTACCATAAATGGGATTGAAAGCACCCATCTATAGCAGACAAAGCCTTTGTGGTTCATTCAAACACCGAGGAAACCGACCATTGTATATATATGCAGTTGGGATTCATCCAAAAGTGAGTGGTAGCCAAAAGAATTTACACATTCCCTGGCTGGGGAACATGTTGATTTCAGAAGGCAGCAAAGGTAACACAAGGATACAGGGAGACTCCCTTGCCTGGCATTTAGTATTTGAACCTCATCCTTTGATTCACCATGAGAGGGAAGAGTCCCAGGAGCCCCCACCACATAAGATATTCCTCATTTAGAGGCACAAGGCATTTGGTCTCCATGTGATGGGAAGAAAACAGAAGCTGGTCTCAGAGTCTCAGGCTGAACTTTAGGGGGGTTCTGTCTAGCTAAAGCAATATATCAATTAATACTGCAATCAGCTTGTGGCATGCATTTCTGTAAAGCACTGCAGAGAACAAAATGGGTCCAGAAAGGCTTTGGGGTGCAATTCATCAGCTCTCAGTACCAGGTGATAGCCCCAACAGAGGTTAAAGGCACACAAGTAACGCCAAATGCACGCTATGGCAAGAGGAGCCTGTCTCCAAAATGTGAGACCATGTCTAATTAATGGGGTCAGGGAAGGGTCCCCTGGGGCAGATGGCCACATCAGGGGTACATGGGGCATCCTGGGAAGATGTGCTCCTGATGGCACTCCCACATGGGCCACAGAGAGGGATGCGTGGTCTGCTCCTGCCTGGCAGTTTCTGTGCAAAATGGGGCCAATTTGCTGGGAAGCTTCCCACTCCCAAGGAGGGAAGAGGTGGGCCGCGAGTTTAACAAACATTTTGGTATTTGGAAGTCATTCCCAGCTCTCGTTTAACACACAGACTGCATTTCCCGTTGCTAACTGGCAGCAAAGAGCTCATCAACATTTAAATAAGAGGCTTGTTAATGCCAGCGTGAGGCAGGTTTGCATGCCAAGGCTGGCTAAGGTTTCGTGCCAAGGATTTTCTAAGAGAGAATTTCTCTAGGAAACTCCTTTAAAAAGAAGAATTCACTTCTGGTTAAAGAGAGCGAGGGCTTCATTTGAAGAGGTGCTGAGCTGGTTAAGTCAAATGGATGGTGCAAGAGCTGAAAGCCTGTGAAAATCAGACTCCAGCTTTTAAATCAATTAATTAGCTGAAGAATGGCATGTGGTGTTTTGCAACTGATTATGCTTTCTGCAATGCAATAACTGAAGGGAAAAAAGGTTACACATAACCTCTTCCATCAGTGCCACTGACTTGCCCATCGATGCTAAATATACTCAGGTGAGGTTTTAAATGCACCTGTTACCTGAGTGTGGGAGTGTTATCTTCTACAAATGCACCTTAGTGCAGGGGGGATGTGCAATATTTGGCTCTGTTTCTAGACCTCAAATGAGTCCTGTAAATTACAAAGACTTTTTACTCCGGGACTTTGTTTTGAGCCTTCTATATGGAGACTGAGCCCCCACCTCAGAGCCAATGAAGAGGGAGGGTGCTGGTTTTGGCAAAGCTAGAGAGTCCTGTACTATATGTCTATATAGCTGGGTTTATTGCCTTTCCTTGTTCTGTCATAGAACAGGAGTAATGTCCATGGTGTCGGAATATGCACATGGTAATTGGCTTTCGCTGTAATTAAATGCCTCGGTGCCAGTGTTTAATCAGCCGCCAAAGCCGTTTATTGCCTCATATATGGCTGCACCATGAGCATTACCCCTTAATTAGTTGCTGAAATAGTGATGATTTAGCAGCGTCTTTATATTTATACTTTAAGACAGCAGATTCAGTCCAACACCAACAACAGATAAAAAAGCAGACCATTCTGCTGTGCAATGATTTGGGCTTATTTATTTTTCCTTACCTTGTGGAAAGCAGTGTCATGTGTATCTCCTGGTGACACCACACTGGAGGTGGTTCAGCCCTTGGAAAGCAGTTGCGATGTCTCTGCTCCGCTCCAGGGCTGATCTTGTGTATTTTAAGTGGATTCAGTATCAATATAACGTTGTCCCCAAAAACTTGCAGCAGCAAAAGGAGCGTAGGCTTCACGTCCTTTGACTCACTATTACCAGGACTGCCTGGATCTGGTCTGGCTGACCAGAGGCAGAGAGCTCCCAGTCTTCCTCACAAGAACTCCTGGGAGAAGGGAGCTCCTTTGTGTCACCAGAGCGGCACTTTGTCTCGTGTGACCCTGGGAGGTTGTGACAGGTGACACTGACAGCCCCATCCAAACTCCTCTTCCCCTCTTTCCCTGCTTGTTTTTGTAGCAGTGGTGGTGCTGTGTTATGCAGCCACTTGCCATTTTGTGGGGAATACAGCAGTGAAAGGGCCCACTCAATGTCCATATATCTTCTCCAATTTCAGTTGTCTGAAAGGAAGAGGTCTGGTCTGATCTTTCAGAGCTCCTTGACAGTTAATGGCACAAGAGAGACATCTCCAGAAAACAGTTCACCCTGCCATGAAGAAGCTGTCAAATGTGTTGAAGGAATGGCCCTTTGGAAGTGTCCATCTCTCACAGAGGGAGCCCTGCAACTTACTTGCACTGGCTCTTCTCTTCCAAACTATCATTCCAAACCCTGCCCAGAACACCAATACTGCCTGCTAAGACCAGCTCTGGGGACAGATTCCTCAGCCTTCCAGGTTTATTCCCAGCTTTGAAAACCCCCGAGGAAGCCCCTGAAATCTTCTCAAAATTAACTAAAAAGCAAAAGTCATCCTTGCTCAGTAATAAAACTCCATTTGTGGCACAGTAGTAGTCACACAGCAAGTTAGCACAGATATTTTCAATATAAACACCCTAGACCCACCTTTTTTTCAAATCAGGTGGTTAAATCTACAGTAGCCACAGCTGGAGACAGCCACTGCACCATGAAAATGGAGCTGTACGACTGCTTCTTCATTTGACCAGGGATGTTGCCAACAGAGCAACCTCTGGGGCTGACAAATAGTCTACACTACCTCCATCCCACACTCAGCCCCGAGACGGCTCCCCTTGGCATCTGGGTTTTAGATACGCTTCACTCCCAAAGCTTTCATTGTCTTCAAAGGATTCTTGTAGTCTTTGATTGCAAGAAAAGCTGCGCCAAACTATCCAATTAATAGTTCCCCCACCCTTGGCCCTCGCCTCTGGCCCTTGGCCTGCTAATGCATTTTGATTTGCATGTGGACAACATATCCCTGGAACTTTTCCATCATAACAAGTTTAGGAAAAAGTACCTTGTGCTATAAAGGAAGTAATAATATCGAGTTTGGAAAACTATATAGCAGTTTGAATAGACTTGAAAGCCCACACCATCACACTCCCTTTACTGCCAAGACAAAGCCTGTCAGACTCCTGTGTCCTGTAGGAACAAGCTGCAGAGCTTGTCCTTTCCTGAGGGAGAACACAGGCCCTTCCTAAAGTCCCCTGGGGAAAGGGAGGAGGAACTGGGACTGAAACTGCTGCCTGTGACTCCTTCCATGGCTAACAGCATCCCCTGACAATATATAACCTACTAAAGAAGTCCTTCATGTTCCCTGGTGGTGGAAAAGTAAGGATAGGATTTAATTTGCAGCCAAGAATATTTAGTTTGGACAGTAGGAAAGACTGTCCAAAGGTGAAGACAGCACCGCTGTGGAGTGGACTGCCAAGGGAGGTTGTGGGATCTCTATCCGCAGATGTCTTCAAGGTCACACTAGATAAAATTTTCTTGGGAGTGGCAAACGGGGAATGGGTTTAGCTGCACTGTGTGCCTTGTGATCTTTCTACAACTCTGAAAGACTGTTCAAAGGTAATCACTTTTGCTGATAAGGGAGGACAGTATTCATCTCATTTAACCCTTAAAGACACAAACCAAACCTGTCTCAGATGCTCACCTAAAGAAAAGTTGACAGACCTTCTCCACTGACTGGAGGGCCACCTTGGATAACAAAGCTGGTTTCCAGGCTGGTAAGTTCAAGATGAATCCTACCTTGAACACAGTCTGTGCAGCAGGAGATTTCTCAGAGAAAAGGGCTTTTATAAAAAGGTCCAAGGATAGCAAGGGTAGAAAAACAGTGGCTATAAGCAGAGTGCAGATATTTAGCATGTATTTTTGGAAAAGCTTACCGGGATACACTGGATTCCCCATCACTTGAAGCATTTCCGTCAGGGAAAATGTTTGGTGACGGTTTGGTGCTGTGTCAGGGTCTCTGACTGGAGAGGTGAAGGTCAGGCTGTGTGCTGATCAGTGATATTTTTGAAGCAGAATGGACTAGACTGGGAACAATCCTGATTAGTTACTGCAATGACAGCCTAGAAATAACTTTCTAGAAGAGACAGGCTTTGCTAACCAGACTTCTTTCTACTCTCCCCATAATAGTTTGAACAATGTTCCTCCATTGAGCTGCAAAGGAAGGTGCTTGGCTCTGCTGTCAATCAATCACTACTCAAATTTGAGAACACTTGTAGGCAATGTCCCATATAATCAGATTACTGCATGATTTAGGAATGGAGTGTTCTTCACTGCAAAGGCACACATTTTTAGGAACAGTGCAAAATTTGTCAAAAGATGGCCAGTGCAACAGGGGGTGGCCTCTTTTGAGACACATTTCTGGCATCCTTACTTCACCCAACAGTGAAACAGGCTCTTGAATTGAGTACGTTGAGGAGCCACACAATAAAATGTTGAACCTAAAAAAAAAAGAGAGAGATATGGAGGATATGAAGTATAATTGCAGGTGGAGGTTGGGAGACAGTTAAATACCATTCAACTTGAAAAAATAATTTCACACACTAGCAAACAAAAATGAAATTTATAAGGAGTTTATTGGATTGGTAAAATGTAATAAAAAAGCATTTGTGATACTTCTTCTGCAAAGAAAAAAGGCATCTGGCCATTTTGCATATTTATTTTCCCTTACAAAACATTTGAAAAGCATAACTGATAAAAAGGATAACAACTGAAAGAGCAGAGCAAGAGGAAAATACATCTCAATATAATTGGATAATGCATAATAAAAATACAGAAAACACATGCTTAAAACAGCTTTCATTCTCTTACTGTAAAAAGTCATTTTAAGTGTTGAATAAAAAATATATGCCGGTTGCTCTGAAAATTGCAGTTTAGAAGAGGTAACTAGCCGAGAACAAAATATATATATCTATATATATTTATAAATATAGAAAATGTGTATATGCTGCATCTGTCCTCAGAACAAATTGGAATAAATGATTTTTAATTCATGCACACAAGTTACCAGAGAAAAAACTTCATTTATTGCCTAGATCAATCCTGTAAGGTGCTGATTGCATTTCCTGAGTGCCCTCAAAGCCCTACAGAAGAAGCCAGTGAGGGAGACAAGTGGCCTGATGGGTTCAATGACAAGGAAGGCTACTCAGCAGCTCACAGGAGGTGCACTCAGCAACTCACAGGATTCAGGAAAATTCCAATGGCAGCAGGATTAGGCCCCTCACAGACTTGGGTAGTGCTTTTGCTCAGCAAGGAGTAAAGCTCTGGTACCCCCAAGCTCTGACAGACAGGAGACCAGTCCTAAAATCTCAAGTAATGTTACTTCATTAGGATCTGAGGGCATAGAGTGTGCAGCAGCAGGCATTCCTCATATAGGGAATGCTTCCTTGTGCCCCCTCCTTGCCCAGATACCTAGGCTAGAGATTCACATTTAAAAGGAAGATGCTTCCCATACCACTGAGAGCCTCTGTCTGCTGATGCAGTCACGCTCCCCTCTCAATTGCAACAAAGGCCACAATGCAAAACCTTCTCCATCTCAAGGGCTAGGCCAACAACTACCATAAAGCTGAAACACCATTCAAACCTGGCCTAGCCACCCACTGTGAATTACTGCACATCCAATAAGGATCACTGCTGGTGAACCCTCGAGCAGACAGGTCTTCAACTGGCAGGGATAGGCCAAAGCATAGCAGCTATGTAGGACAAATACGTTCCTGGGGGCACTTCCTCCTTGCAGTCTGAAAGAGCTAAGTCAATCTCCCAGCCTCTGAGGGTGTCTCCATGGGGCACTTAGCCAAGAAGAATCCCTCTGGAATGACCTGTGTGTGGTTCAGACCCCCTTGTATCAGCCCACAGGTAAAGCCAGTGTGAGAGACTGGGCTCTGACACATGAAGAACCTCTGCTCTTTGTTCTGGGCTGGAAAGTGTCGTTACTAGAACTACAGAATTATTACTCCAGGTCTCTCATTTGACTCACTGGAGGGAAGGCACTGGAAGCTGCTCTCCAGTCTCTCTGACAGTACAAGCTGTAGCACAGGAAAGTAAAGGACCCTTAAGGAAGTTGAAATCTCACTAAGGGAGATCCTTTCTAGCAAGACCATGAGAGAAAGTCCAAGCATTATTTTGCTCTGCCCATACCTCTACCAATACTCATTTCTCACTCTCCAGAGGGACAACAGAGGAGGTCACAGGGGTGCAGTACTGAGCATCAAAACATCAAATCTTTCCCTTTTCTGCATTTTCAATACACCTTGAATTTCCAATATACCTTGCATTTCCTCTCTGATCACAGCAGGGAAGAGTTTGCTAAACATGATTTTGAGGATTGAAAGTAAGAGCATATCAGCCTTTTTGATACAGTAGCACCAATCAAACACCCAGCCTTTGGTTCACCTTGAAATTTTCTCTTTTAATATTATTTAAAAAATGAATGATGGAGAGCTTATAAGAGACAATATTAAGTGAATAAATTCTGCAGATATGAATGACTCTGGAGTTCTGATAAGACAGAGATATTTGAGGAGATATACCTGAGTACCTCTGCTACAGAACAGTTGCCTACGAGACAACAGGGTGTGTTAAGCAAGATGACAAGATATGCTGATGGGATAGACCATTGCTTTGTTTATCCCAATACAGAACAGATGCTCAACATTAACCTCTTGTTTCTCTTCTCCATCATCCTCCTAGTTTCCATCCCTGCTCAGCACTAGGGCTATTTCTCTGCTGCCCATAAAGGAGCACGGCAGGTCTCTGAAAAGGCACACATTGAAGCAATTGAAATACATTTTTTGTAAAGGCAGCTCTGTCAGTAGCCTATTCGCCACCTTGCTGCTTGTTCTGCTGAGATGCTTAGCTACTTAAGCATTAGGCACATTAGAAATACTACTTTTTAGGTGGATAAAGCAAAGAACTAGATCAGACTCTGGAGACAAGGCACAAAATGTCCATTTGCCAAACTGAAATGGCTTTCCAGCCCACACAGAGCTGTCAGTAAAGCAGTGGCAGATGCAAAAAAAAGTTCCCCAGTTCTGTATTTTCAATGGGCACCACCTCAACACAGTTGAAACGCAAACTACAACCTCCGGCTGTGCATTTCAGTGCAAACTGCTCTTATCTCATACAGCCCTGAATGAAACATTAGCACAAAGGCAGCCTAATTGGAACAGGATCTTCTCCTTCTCTGCAAATCCTCATCATTGCACACAGTCCCATAGCTAATGGCAGAGAGAAAACAGCTGATTCTGGCAAAATACTTGCACTAGGAAGGCAGGATCAAGGCCTAGGCTGGATGCAGACTCACCACGGGGAGCAGTGCTGGCCATGGAGAGGATGAGGTGGACCTTGCTCTGTTAGCAGGCTTTCCTCACTCCCATGCTGCAGCAGTGTGGAAAGCTGTAGCAAGTGTTGCAGAGGAGATGCTGGGCTCTGGCTCTAGTTTAGGGAACACTTCAGAGTGTGTAATTTTTCTCCTTGGCCACCACCAAGGAAGAATATAAAAGCAACACAAAACTACACTGAATGGTCATCTCCCTTTCATTTTGAAATCTAAGCACTTCCTCCACTGAAGGCATTCCTCCCATGTAGGATTCCAATTCTGAAAACTCCTCTATATCAGAACTGGAAAAAATTCTGATCACATTTTCTGGTTCTAAATTCTAGGTAAGCTTTCCTAGACAGAGCTCCTAACTTTTCATTCAGTGCTCAAACCAAAGTGGCTCCAAAGCCCATGGGGACCAAGGCAAGACTAAGACTCAACAAATGACAAGTAAAAATGATACCATTGAAAAGCACGTGGTCCTGATTACCAAAAATGCTGAATAAGCAAAGTTTCTATGGAACAGAATTAGCAGGAGATGTAGGAACAGCCATTAAAAAAGTATCAGAGCAATTCTGCCCTTTATGTTTTGCCACATTTATTATTTTCACCTCTCTCTTCTCACAGATGAAATGGGGCAGGCCAGTTCTTTTGCCTATTCAAGTTGGCTTTGCTCTCCAGGCTGTCATGCTGCTGGCACAGACCTGCGGAGACAGGACTTCCCGCACTCTAGGGGAATGCTGAACTGGAGCTGTTTTTTAAACATTAAACTATTCCTGTTCACCACACACTCTGCTTCCAAAAATAAAACAAGCATCCAAGTCTTTAAACAAGCAGAAGGACCCTTCAAAGTCTCAAAAAATGTTTTAAACCTGGGGCAGGAGGGATGGGAACGGGAATACGTTTTCCTACTAATGGGAAACAATGAAACTGATGTTTCTGGATATGAAATGCTGGGTAATAACAAATCAGAGGTCTGTTGCTGAGCCTGTTCTGTCAGCCAGCCCTTGTGAGAAAAAGACAGCAAGAAAGCATTTCTCCTTTGCACTGATGAACTTAACATGAAAGCAGGGGCAATACATGGGAAGGAAGAGGGTAGACAGGTACACGGCATGAAAATTATTTGCCTGGAGCAACCACAGGAGTAGGCAGAAAAACGGCAAATATAATCTGTCTCCTTATTCCCTTAGCCCTGGTTCCTAAAACTAGTTTGGGAATAAACTGGGGGAAGGGGAGGAAGGAGCAGCAATTTGAACACAGCAGATGCTCCAGTTAAACCATATCTTCCCAAAGAGGAACCGAGGGTGGGGGCAGGGGAGATGGCTATTATTAATGTCCTTCCGTATATAGCAAAGCAGACATCCTGCATAATGGCAACACAATACATCAATAATAGCCCAAGAATAGCTTCCTACCGGTTTTTTCCCCCTGACAGTTAGAAACATAAAGAGAAAAATCAAGCTGCTGAGATAAATAGCTGAGTCTCCACCCCCACCTCAAATTGCCTTGGCATATTTTAAGAGATAAATGGTTCTATGAGAAATTTAAATAGCTTTCTCTTTTCTTTTTTGGCAGCTGCAGGAACTGGGTCAGGTGTAGAAATTATTAATTTCGAAGCCTGAAAAACCCATGTTTGAAACTAAGTTTTTTTTTTTCCTTTAAAGCATCAACTTTCTTAGAAGCAGAGTTACAAAAAATTAAAAAATAATTGAGGAGTTTTTTTTAAACAGAAGTCAGGCTAAAAATAATGAAATAACAGTGCAAGCTGCAGAAAAGAGACAATTTGTGTAACACTTTAATGGACACTTAAAGTATCCATAGTGGATTGTTAATTTTTTTTTTGCATAGAGTACAGTATTTGCCCAATGGCTTTCATTCCTCTTAATCAAACCTAGCACTGGGAGTCTGCCTTGAAGAAAAAGACTGGGGAGCACCATTCTGTAGCTTTACCCTAACTTTAGTGCACGTTTCCAAAGAGACAGGAGATTACTGCCAAAGTGACCAGCATCAAACACTTCCACTTCCATGAGGAGACCGTTTACTGCTTACTTCCAGATCTCAGGACTGACACCCCATCAAGTTCATCTGCTTGAGGCTGTGCTCACTGGTGCTCAGAGCTGGTGAACTTGGTACTGAACCACATGTAAATCACTGCATTCCCCCTCCAACTCAAGTTACTCTTGCTTTACACATTGATACCAGGGTTTCTAACCCAGTTTCTCTGCATGATGCCAAAAGCCATCTCCCTCCTGATGTCATATGGGGAAGGATCTCTTTGCAATGATAAAACCTTGAATCTTATAGAGAAAAAAGGTCAAATCCTGTAGAAACTGCTTTGAGCAAAGAAATGCTGTTAAACTCCCTCACAGGAGAGTACACTAGTTAAGACCTGTAAAAGGTTCAAATTTCCAGTCCTACAAAGACTCTGAGATCTTGAAAGATACCCAGTTGGCACACAGCCTGCCTCCACTGCTGCATGGCTGGCAAAATCCCCCCCGCTCCTCATGCTCTGTTCCATGTCCCAAATCAGACGGATACCTGAGAAGGAGGAGGATTCCCTCGTTTATACTCACTGCACCTCCACAGGGCTCACAGCTCGTGCTCTCCTTCTCTTGGTGACCAATCAAAAATTTAAAAGGTGACAAAGACCAAGATGTAAATAGAACTGCGGTGCCTAGAAAGTCAGAGCACAGATAGTATCAGAAGACAGACTGTAATTACAGGCCCTGCTACTTATTACATAGGCCAGTTGGGCCACATGAGCCTTCGGTGGAAACTTCCTGTGCAATTAATAAAGGAGAAACAGAATACTTTTGCAATCACTTCTCTAGCTTTCACTGTGGGGGTCCAATCCTGCCATCCTGGATTAGCTCTAATCATAGACAATCTTTCTCTGCATAAACTGAAGGCATCTGTTCTGTAAGACTAAAAAAAAAAAAAAAAAAAAAAAAAAGAAAAAAGGACAAAACCCTCATTGCAAACCTACACCATGCAATCAAGAAGGAAAGGAAACCGATCTTTCCTGATCCCCCCCAGATCGTAATCTGACAATGTTTTCAAGGCATCTGGCAAAAAGGAAGAAGAAAGAATAATGCTATGAAATATTTAAAATCCTACTTCTGTCAAGAATACACGAGAGGGGAAAGGTGAGTTTGAAAGGGCTGCATTATTTGTAAGTTAAAACCTGAAAGCACCATCTTTTGCATAGAGGCACGAGATGCCCTTGGCCCGAGCCAGAGCAGTCCTGAGAACAAGTACCAGGCATTGATTCAACAGGGACTGGAATGACAAAGTCAAGGCTGTGTGTGAGTGGGACCAAAGCAACTGTCCTGCAACACCATGGGATGTACCATGGGACGTCAAGGGTAAGGCAATGCACTAATGATACCGTACAGTAGCTGTGTCTTTGCAGCCCACAACTGATCCTCCTCATCTAAAGCTTGAATCAGATTTTCGAGCGCATGGGAAGTGGAGCATACCCGAGGGAGGATTTCTCCTAAAGGCACTTTTTTTACTGCTGAGACTCTCACTAAACAGACATGCAAGGAAGGGGAAACTGCCCTGTGAGATCAGAGTTGCATCAAATGATACCTTGCTTTGGTCCTGCACCCAGGATCTTGCCCTTTCCATTCTCAAATCCCAACTCCTGTGGAGGACCTCTGTAGAAAGACCTCAGCTAGGCCTGACCAATGGACTGATCCCAATCTGCATCATGAGAAGCAGGCACAGAAACAGGCTGGATGTGCCCAGGCATTGTAAGGAGGGGAGGCACCAAGCAGATCCTCGGGAGTTCTGATGCTCAGCTGAGGCTTTTCTTAGTCACATCCACCTGCCTGCTGTACAGTTCCAGTAGAAACCATAACAGACTTCAGTACAGGCACTGGGCACACAAATGGGAGCAAAATGGTCCTGAAACACCGAAACAAAAGATACTTTGGAACAAAACTGGCACAGCCACAATCCCCACAACGCCTGTGTAAGATAGAAAGAATCCCTAGAACGTATTTATCAAAAGCCATTTTATGCAGATTTTTCCTTCTGAATATTTAAAACATGGTGAATATTAAACTTCAGAGATTCTTAATACGTTCCAAAGCCCCACGGACCTTTGAAATGCTAGCTCATCAATATGCAACATCTAATCTTGTCAGAAAAAAAAAAAAGAGGGAAAAAGAAAGCTATTCATCCTTTACACACAGAGGTTACAGTGAGAATCCCAAGGAAAAAAAACCTTCCAGCATCTTATGCAATAGGTTAAATTTACTCTGGTTGGGAAAGTTTCACTTTCTGTAAGAGAGAAAGTGCCTGTACGTGCATAGCTACTGGAAGCTTCTTCTGAAGTGTGAGGCTGAAACTGTGTAGCTGGATTACAGTAAGTAGTTTATTAAAAAAAACAAGGCTTGTGGCTTTGCATCCTGTTCCAGTCCACTGTAGTTTCAGGATCCCCTCTCCAAAGGCCAGCAGACAGAGCGCCACCTAAAAATCCATTCTAGTCCAAAATGCTGTGGTTGAAATGGCTTTGCTTGTTTATAAAGTTTAGTGTTTCGTATCGCTTGCATCTGACCTTCAGCAGAAAGAAAAGCTCAGTTAAATTGTGCAAATATGTACCAAATGGGAGCAAGGGAAAGCAGCCAAAAATGCTGCATGAGCTTTTGCAGGGCTGCAGCCTTTTAGGAGCACCAGTTAGATGAACTGGATGAGAGGCCAAATTGATTTAGGCTCCAGGCAGGAGCTTAAAACACCACGACATCCAAATTCACAAAGAAAATGTTCTGTTACTGCAACCCCAAATTTCCTGCACATGAAAACACTGTTTTCTTTCATCTTTAGGAGATGCTCGTTCTGTAATCCGACATTCAAAAATGAACAAACAAACAGGAGTCAGCTGACAAAGGATTCTTGCTGGTGAATGGAAGTAGGTCACTCTGAGTATTTAGCCTTTACAGTCTGGCTTAATATTAGTGTTGTACACAGAGCAGTAACAAAACTACACTGGAGACAGGGAAAGACTCTAATTTTGTCTTTTCTATGAAAATTAGCATTAACGTTCTGCATTAATGTGCAATGGCTCCCCAGCACTCAATATCTGGTTAATTAAAAGAAAAACCACAACCCCAAAGCAAACCACACACTAAATTAAACAACAACAAAAAACCCTTACTGGTCAGCCTGCATTTAAAGACATCTCAGCATGAGTAATTGGGCAGAGAGGAATTTTCCTGAAGGAACATAAAAGAAAATGAAAGCTCTACATACAAGACCAAATAAAATCTTCTGTCTCTCACAAATGCAAATTCAGGCTGCCCTTTTACACAAACATGTTAAAGGAATAAAACTGGAGGAAAAAATAAAAAAGGATAAGCTAATAAATTCATTTATGGACAAAAAAAATATTAAAAAACAAACTATCCTTCAAACATATTTCTTCATGGTAAATCCCTGCAATCATGTGGTTCTAAATTACATGGTTAAATATGACTGAAAAAGTAAGGCACAATTTCATAATAATTTTAAAAGCAATAATTATAACAATTTTCTTTGATATCCATACGGCAGGCCACTGATACTAAGGACACACAAAACTACTTGATTAAAGATCCAAAAAAGTTTTTCCAACTACTAACTAAGACTCACAATACCTCGGTGAAGCAAGTAACAAACCATCTTCACTGCAAAGATGAGTGCACGTTGAGGAAATGGAAAAAGTGGGTAAGAGAGTGGCTTGTGGACAAAGGGAGGCAGAGGCAGGAAAGCAGAGACACCCCAAGTGTGATGTTCCCGGGGAGGGTCTCTAACCCCTAGTAATGCAATGATAATTACAAAACCTGGGCCTTCTGTTTCTTTCCTCAGTCTCTAAAATATCCTGGTAGGCTGAGAAAAGTGGACAAATAACAAAATTTAAAAAAAAATAAAAATGTTGGAACTGAATGCTCTTGCTACCCATGATGAACTCTCTTGCTTCCACATGTACCATGAAGCCAAAGAGACCAGGGACACGTAGTCAGGAGTAAAGCCCAGTGAGGTATAAGTAGCACTACTCAATATTGCAGCCTGTATCTCTACTCAGTTATAGCCCCACAACCACTTTATGTGCATGTGCATATGCCAGAGAGTGTGGAGCTCAGTTTTTTCAGATCTCAGCAGAAAATTTTCAGGCTGAAGTAAAAGCTGTTCCCCAATGTCCACCAGGAAACCTACCAAGGTTATCTTTTTTCTATTAGATTTTTAGATGCTGGATGAATGTTATAATTTCACAGGTGTAAAGTCTATTTTGTTTCAGGCTCCAAATGCCAGTCGGACAATCGACTGTTGCAAACTCACACTTGAAATGCTGAGGAAGCCAGGTAATATTTCTAGAAATGTCTAAGGAGAAATGCCATTCCCAAGCCCAGAAAGGTATGTGGAGATGAAGTTCAATCAGTATCTCTTGATCTCCATGGCAGTTGCCATAATGTGCTTATATTCTTCAGTAATTTCAGGGAAAAAAAAAACCAAACAAAAAACCCCAAGATAAAAACAAAGAAGAAAACTGCAATTGCCACAGAAAAAGACACTGGCAGTACCCATAGCCAGCCACTCCACAGCTTGAAGATGGGAAAGAAAAATGAACCACACAGAAACAAAACTGTTATTTTGAGAAGAGTCACATTATTTGGATTGTTCTAACAAAGGAAATAGTGACTTCAAAATTAGCAAAACTGGTTAAAAATAGGGAAAAAATATCTCGTGAGAAGATTCAAAGCTTTTTTTTATTTCACTAGGTCCAATATTGAATCATTTCCCAAGAAGATGTGCTTTTTTTTAAGCAAATTTTTATCCAAAGAAGTTTTCAAAACTGTCACAGAAACTTTAAATTACCAGCAGAAGAAACCCAAGAACTACTCAAAAAAACTGAAAGAAGACATGGGGATTTGAGAAATGAAAATATTTGTTAACAATTCTGAAATTTACTTAGATAAAAATTCAATATGATTTTAATCACAAGAGAAAAAAAAAACAACAAAAAATGTTGTGGGTAACATTGCAAAAAGAGAGAATTTCTCACTAAAAACAGTCTTTCTGATATCATGTAATTTAGTGTAAAAATTGCAACCAGCTCCAACTGGAAATAGTGTTCTCACAGCTCTCCTCGTTTGTACTTTTTTAACTTCTAGGTTACCGAGTAGTTCCTGCTCTCCTTCCACAACAAACACTCAGGTACCATCACTAGTGTTTACTCATGGGAATTTCACCACAGTGAGGTTCTTCAGCAGCCCTCCCCCCTGATAGCCATGACTTGCAGCACTGAAATCTGTATGAGGTGTTGTCAACCCAGCTTAGTGAACAAACTGCAAATCAACATGATGAACCAACTGTAGGAACCAGATATCAACAGAAACCACTTACAAACTCAAACCCTTTCTGAGCCATTCAGCTGAAGCACCAGGTGTCTAACATTTATATCCGATGCTGATGGAGGGCAAAGACACAGAATTTCCCCCAAGAACCTTCTCCTGGGTCCTGTTATCCCTTGCCTGCCAGACTTTCTCAAATCAAAAGAAAACAGCATTTATCAAACCTAAGTCATGCTTCACTAACCATGGCCAGTCAGCAGCTGTAACAGGTCCAAAGAGACTTCAGAGTGACTTGTTGCATATTCTCTTTAACAACCACCATTTCTTATAAGACACTTTTTTTCTCTTTCTTCTCAGGTACATTTTGCTGATAAGCAGAAAGTCAACTTAAGGCCTGTGCCTTGGGAAAGCCTCACTCCTGCCATCAGGATGAATGCTATTATGTAGAGTTCACTGTGATGAACACTTTGGTACTTCCATACCTCTATGATTCAATCATTACCCGAGTGTTTTGCAGCCATGATAAAAATCTCAGAATTAAAATATTAAAAAAAACCCAAAAACAAACCCTCAAATTAAAGGTGCATTATCAGATACACTAAAAAAATGGTGTTGTTTTCTGTTCTTAAAAGCAATGTTCAGTGATTAAAATGACAATAAAACGAACCACATTCACAAAATAGGAGCGTTAGCCTTGGGGATATGCTTAAGGATTGGGCTGTAACCAAGGCAACCCAATCTTCTGGAGAAAGTTTAAGCAGACAGTTTTAAAGCCATCCCTCAAAGATACAGTAAACCTGGCTGTAGGGCTACTTGTGCCATATGGAAGGTGCCACAGCCACCCAACACAAAGCACTCATCTTGTAATACCTCACCCTCCTGTCACCCAAATGTTACATTCAATCAGCCACCAGCCAGGTGGCTCTCCTGCAGCAAGAGCATAAGGGTGACACAGAAGCCATTTCATGTGTTCTGGGTAATTTGACAGAAATTTGACTGTGCCCACATCCTACCCAGATCAAATCTGTATGATCAGGTGATGCAGAATCAGTCTAGTGTTAATGGCTTACGTCACACCACGCAATGGCTTTAAGTCTGTGCTTAAACTAACGCCAGAACTTAAATATTTTGCTAAATTAGAACCTGATCCTGAGGCCTGTGTGGCCACACAAATCATGGGATCAGGCCTTACTTGCCAACAAATGCTAGACAAGGACAAAGGAGCATAAGCAGAAACTGAAGAATTGAACAGAAATGTCTGTGTGATCTTCCAATTCTTTCTGAAAGGAACAGTTTGGACATTACCACAGCCACAGAAGATGTGAATTTTTGTCATGGCTAAGTCCACCTTAAGAAAAGCAGGGGCTCTTTGGCAAAAAGACTCCTTCTTTGGAACAGATAAACAGGATATATTAAAAGTATGTGATAAATATGGTGATGAAGCAATATCCCAGTGGTTCTTAATTGCAGTGCAATTGAGATACGTCCACCAGAATTTCCTAATTAAATCCTGAAGCATCAGAGGGGAGATTTCCATACCCATGTGGGTGATGAGAGCCTCTGTGATGTACATACAATATTTTTCAAATAGATTTATAGCAATTTTAAAAGGGAAAACCACAGAAGATAAAGAAGAGTGTTTCGAACACTCACTCCTTCCAACAGGCAGATGGTTTTGGTGTTTTGGGGTGAAAAAACTCACCCATCATAGTACCTTTTCACAGATGCGTCAGCTCTAAAAACTTGCCACAGTACCTCAAATATCAATACTGCTCAATCTTTGTTAATCATATTTCATCCATGGAGTATTTAATGCTTGAAAAGTTTGACTCTTACCTCCCTGCATGCCAGCCCAACTCACAACAGCACCCTAATAACAGAGATCTAGATCTAGATCTCCTGGCTGGCCCTGTGCTTTGAAATGGGCTGGAAGCCCAAACCTACATACCAGTAAGCTTTTCTGGAAAGAGAAAATAGAACTCCAAAAATCAGCAGTTTGGACCAATCTGTGACTAGTTTAATTCCCAAAATGTGTCTGGGAAATTGGAAAGAAGCTCTCTCATGCAGACGGTGGAAGACAAGAAGCCATATGACTTGCTCCAGTCCAGCCTATGGCAGAGCCATAAAAAGCCCAAAGGCTCTGGACTTGAGTCATCCTTGGTCTAAGCCACATTCTGCTGGAAGGTACAACAGCTTCTTTCCATCAATTACCCCAGTGTTATTCAGAAGAGTCTCATCAGCCACTTGATTTAATGCTAGGAAGGGTAAGGAAGATCAGAGCTAGGTTTGCTGCCTCCCGAATGGCTTATTCTGCATCTGAGTGTATCACATCCTGACTTGTGCTTGTAGAGATGCAAAATCCTCAACAAGGATACAAGTGTTATCAGTCCCAGCACTGACCTCCTGTGTTTTAGTAGGGTTAGTTCAAACTATATTTCCACAATATTTGCAAGCTTTTTTTGATGGGTGGTGGTGCAGACTGTGTGTAAAAAAGCGAGCTCAGAAGGATCTTACATGCCACGGGTTCAGGGAGCAGCAGCCCAGGTGGAACCTGGCATGAGCCAGGGTGCCAAAAAAATCTGTTTATGTCTGAGGCAGTAAAATTTTTGAATGCCAGTATAAAAAGGCAAACTGCTTCAGCACAGCCTCTATGCTGGTGAAGGACTTCTTTTGCTCAATGATGCCACCCTTCTACAAAGAAGGATTCATTTTAAGCTGTGAATTTTGGGAAACTTCCCTGACACTGGTGGAGTTTGCCAACATATAAACCATGTAAGTAACAAGAGGTTTCAGACTGGTATTTCTGTATTTGAATTTACTGTACATAGCTGAAGCTATTGAATTTCAGTGCTCTTCCATAAAGGGTACTGCTAAACTGAAAGGAAAGGCACCATTTGCAGGAGGTGCAGTATCACATCACAATTTTTCCTCTTTGTTTCCTGTCATTCCAGCTCATCTAACTTTTCAGCATTAGTAGATATAATCATTCTCTACAATAGAAATCTCATATAAAGGTGAAAGCACCACATTTCTTATTGTTTTTCAGTGGGAGCATGAAAAAAATTCTTATAACTTACTCTTGAAAAGTGCCAGTTTGTCACTTATATGGGTCAATCAGCCTGAAACTGTTTCAGTTCTGCTTCTTAATTTAAGTGCAAAGAAAGGTATTTTCTTTGATTACATCTGCAAATAAGATATTAATGTCAATTCAGTGATATGAAAATTACTCCCTCACTATGTAATTTGCACCTTAGTTATTATGGGTTTCATGAACAAGAATATTATAGCTGCTCAGTGTGCTGTGGATTTCTAATTTTTTGATTTTTTTTTTAATTAACCAAACTAAAAGAACCCAACAACCACTATTATATAAAAAAAAGATTATCTGCATCCAGTTTTTATTTACCTTGGCATATGTATTAATTCTGGACCAAAAATGAAAATGCTGCTGCTGGCCTAGCACTCTACTGCTATGAATTTCACCAGAGACAAGTTATAAGTGGCTGGGATGAAAACAGAAGAGGAAAAAAGATGCTTACTTTCTAGAATGGCATAGTGAAGGGTTTAATACCTTCTTTAGCTTTCTTAAGATAAAAACTGAACAACAGTATGTATTTAGGAGGGTCTTTTTTGCTGCTGTTGAAACAAGATCCTTGATTTTTTTTAATGAGAACTCCAGATCATGTGTGTTAACATCAGAGAAATGAATATCATCCTAAGGCTTGATTCAATCCCTGTTACGGTTGAAGGAAAATCCTCACATTGCAATAACAGGAGGTGGAACAAGATTCTATTGCTTAAATGTTTACCCAGAGACCAACACTGCCAGTGGTCCCACTAGAAGGGGTGTATGACAGAGTGGTGTAAGATTTTTTTGAGCATCGCTTTGCACTGCAGTTCTATGCAGTAATTTTGGGTTTTTTTAACCACTGGGATTTTAGAAATGTATTTCCAGTGCCATGACCGGCTTATGTCTCTGGTAAATCAAAAGCATGTTGTGTGTGTGTGTGTGTGTGTGTGTGTGTAGTGTAGTGTGCAAGCTCACATCCTTCTGTGATTGCTCATACATTGTGAATTGGAAGCATCACTACTGAATAAATTTATGCAATAGCAAAGTAAAATTTCATGAGTAAAAGAAAAAACCCTATTAACTGGAAGGGAATGGAGACAAGTAAGGGCCTAAGAAATAACAAATCTGTGTCCCAGGGATACAAGGTCACACCTACACTCAGGTGCAGTACAGTTGCAGTTGCACTGTTTGCGTTAATGCTGGGTCTGCTCTCACACCTAGGGCAGTGGAGCTACTTCTGCTGGTGACACAGATCCTATTAAAGTCAAAGGGAACCTCCCCATGACTTCAATGAGAGCTGGCCAGGTTCTCAAAATAACTTGGGAGAAATAACTAGCTCAGCCATCTTTCACCTTCTACCTTCATGTACTTCTTAAGAGACAGGAATCAAACACAAACGTAGGCAGGACCATGTTCAGACCTCCTTCTACAGGCATGTAACTTAGCTGCTGTGACCACTTAACTCCATCAGCTGCAGATACAGCAGCTGTTCTGACTCACTGCCCTCTTGAACAGTTGTGTCTAAATTAGATGCTTGTCACAGGCAGTCTGAACATGGCCTCTCAAAGTGCCCTCTTGTTCCAAGGCCTTCCAGTTTTCCTTTTTTTTTTTTTTTTTTTTTTTTTTTAAATAGAGATTCAGACCCTAGCCTGGAAAGAAATCATGCAAAGCTTGTGCAATATCCCCCGATGGGCATCCTGGGGAGGGTCACAGTTGATACTCAGAGATCAGTGCTGGCCTTGGCAGTCAGAGCCTGGATCCGAGCAGAGTTGCAGGTCTTGCAAAGGATGTGCCCGTCCAGAGGGTAACAGCCCTGATTGTCCCCTTCAGACAGGAGGCCACCACAGTCCTAGAAAATAAGCAAACAGAAAGAGGAAAGAAAATAAGAAGGAGCAAGATTAAGCAAAGAATCTATTAGTGAAAAGAACTCTCTCCTCACACTCCACCTTGTAATGGGATCTAGCCTGAGTCAGCGTAAAGCATGAAGCTGAGGTACATGATGTCTTTCACGATTAAGCTGTTTTCTGATAAGAGACAATGCTGCAGAGAAGATGGGTTCCCAAGCTCTCTGCTGAATTTAATCCAATTGAAAGTAAAAGGAGATTACTGCCTTCACATTTTTGAGGAAGCAAAGGTCATTTAGCATTGGAGAAACATCAAACTGAAGCACATTTTTATTAATTCAAAAGAAGATAAAAAAGAAGCATCACTGGGAAGAAAGTTTGGTACCAATATCTGACTATAGGTAATCTTCTTTGGAAGAGTAAATGCCACAAAGTTACAGATTCCATTCCAGGGGTGACAGCTAAGCAAATTCCCTGCCTGTCTCCCCTTACCAGAACAGTCACCTATGTTTGCACAATTGGTCAAAAAGGTTGTGCCTTAAAGGAGGATGTCAGATAGGCACATGGAAACCCCATTTAAATACCCCAAATCTTGCTCCAGAGACCTCAGCCTCTAAGTTTATAAGGCTGTTAGGAAAGTTGGGAGTTATCCCTCACCATGTGATCAAACAAGTGCTTGGCCCAAGACTGCTGATGGGGCTGCAGTGAGGGGTTAGAGTTCACTTAGAGGCCCTTGCCTCTTCATCATAAATCAGTGTTTGTAAACATACCTGGCAGCAAGTGGTGGAAAAAGGAATATTATTATTGTTCCTTTTGAGATAGCTGAGGTACATGGAGATCAAGGCCAAGTGAGTGTCTGTGTTCTGTTCTACTGCATCTACTTGTGACATCTGTGTGTGTGAAAGCCTAGGTATCTCAGCAGCCAGCATGGAGACATGCTGTATGATGAATTAGGCTGTACAAAATTTAGTGTAGGAATGTCCCAGCATCTTAAAATATATGCACCCTGAAAGCCAGTGCCAGATTGAGAAGTGAACCAGATGCCTCAAGTTTCAGCCTAGACCTTTAAACCTTAGTCTATCCTTCTTTCTTGTTGAAGTTATTAAAACCTGCAACAGTGATACGAAATATATTTGGTCTCATTTTCTTACCCTGTCATCTGGATGATGTATTATCGAACAAGCAACACTTCCACTGAAGAATTCTTGAAGGTTCCCTAACACAGCTGTTCCCACATGTTAATTGCTTTAAGGTGATTTTTATTCTCTGTCTTCAGATTCTTACCATCAAAATTACATGAAGTGCATAATGAAAGGGAACAGGGAAAGTAGCACAAAAAGCATTGCACAAAACAAGAATGATCATGTTTATGTGTCCATTAAAATTCTTCAACCCAGAGCCATATGCTGAGTTTCCTGTACAATCTTGCTCGAATTCTAACATGCATTAGCTTTCATTTTAAGAACATAAACATGAGCTACGTTTGTATCCAAGCTATAATTTATGAAGTTCTCAAATATTAAGCCCTAATTACCTGAGTCACATTCTCTTGCTCTCCTAATGAACCTGTTATAAACAAGGAACCTGATTTTCTTCTCATTTGCGTTGATATATATGAGGAAAAATTCCTTGCATGCTGAAGTCAATGAAGTAATTTGATTGTACAGCCAGTGTTACAATAGGTTATACCTGTCGTGTGCATACCATGAGGTGGTGATGAAGTTAAGCCAATCTTTACTTTCTGTCCTTCACAGATTTTCTTCACACAGTGATTGGAATACTAACCTCACATCGGTAGCACTGGACATGGAAGTCACGATCCAAGGCAACAATGCGTACGGTCTCCTCTTGTCCTGGGGCCGGCATGATGGGCTCCTTGCACACAGAACATCTCGGAGCAAATTTCCTGAAGAAGGAAGAGACAGTCTCAGTCATCCTCAAACTTGGAGTGAAAGTTTTTGTTAACTGGACCAGCAAGCCAGAAACACGTGCATTTGTACAAACACACTTATGTACGTGCACATACGTCACAGCTGGAGCTTTGCACAGCTGCCTTTTTGGAAAGAAGACAGGAAGGAGTACTTTAGTCTTAAAATGTATTTTCGGGCTTGTAGGATATTAAAGAACATTTTGCAGACTTTTAGGAGAGGACAAAGAACATCTGACAGGCAGCAAAGCATATTGTGCCTGTCCTAACTAACAACTAAGGTGAATGTCCCATAATTGTGGCATCTGTGCACTGCCATAACCCTTAACCATCTCTCTAAGAAAGCCCATGCAAATCCCAAGGTTAGAAAGATGACCACAATTTGCTTCAGGAGGATCTCTTGAAAACAAACCCCAAAATATTAAAATTTGGAGATTGGAACAAATAGGTTAAAAGTCTTGATACAGATGGTAAAAAGAATGCACCACACTCATTTGTTGAGGTTTATCCCATCCACTTTAAAATTCGGAGCCATCTTACCCACTTATGCACACAGGAGCACATTCCTGGCTCACTCTCAAATAAGAAGATCAGGGCAATTCTGACTTGCTGCATTTTCTAGCTAAAACCAGCTCTCAGTTATCCAATAGCAGATTGCCCAGGCCTAAAAGGGAACAAGTCTGGGTGCAGAGACACCAATGCTCTCTCTTCCAGTCAGCCTTAGAATTGTATAAGGATAATAACTCACTGCGTGAAGGGACTCACTTGAATCAGGGTCAACTCAGGGATCAAGAGAAGCAGAGGCCTTTATTTTTCCCCTTATACTGCTCACCATATGCCCTTCTGGCTAATTCACCTGGGTTCTATATTAACTCTGGCTTTGCTCCCCCGAGTTCCCATGAGAAGTGGCCATCTCTACTCCTAGGCAGGTGGGGATGCTTGGGAACATTTAGCCTGTGGTGAAACATTATGTGCTGTTTTGGTTCAAAACCTATTGGTACCAATTCCCTGGCTGCAAATTCTGGTTACATAAAAGGAAACTTACACCTACAGAATCTGCTGCCGTATAATGAGAGCCGGGGTCAGGGGCTATGGGGGACAGAGGGCAAAGCTTATGGCAAACATCAGAACATGAGGAGATCAAAGGCCCTTCTCTTCTGAAATGCCTACTAAAGATTGACTCTGCCACCCAGCCTGTCACATGAACCATCTCAGAATTAACTAGCTTAGAAAAGAAAAAAAAAGAAATCTATCTGTACTAGGAATAAAGAAAAATATTAATTTCACTGGCAGCAGATGAAAGATGTCTGTGTAGCTGCGATCTAACGAAAAAATGAATTAAACAGTGGCTATAGCGAGCGCTCTGAAAAATAACTTAAATGGATCATGATATGACCAGAGCTGTAATCGCAATTAATTATATGCTGCTTCATGTAGGCACTTCCTTGTGCCATTTAGCTCAAATGTGGTATTTAAAAATACTTCAACATTTCTTTGTCCAAGCTACAGTCAATAATTCAATATGAGCCAAATATTATCTTCCAGTACCCTGAGATAACTCCTGCAGATTTTGGGGGTTGTGGATGTGCTACTCAGGGCCTGAGTTCAGGGAGAAGCTGAGTGACAGTGTGAGCATCAGCTACAGTTTTGTTATCAAGAGGATGTAGATGTAGAACACTCAACCTCCAGATAAGGAGCCCTAATCAATTAAAACTGGGCTGGGCAAAGTGCTGCGAAATGTGTGGCTGGCCAAAAACATCCTGAGTGTCACACTGGATCTCATGCTATTCCCATCATCTTCCCTTCAGTCTTTCACTCAGTGATTTTTATGTCCTTTCCTTGGATTGACAGCCTCCCACTTCCCACTCTCAGAGCCCCGAGGTCCATATGCAGTCACTGCCAAAAGACTTCAGAGTGGGACATCAAGCCTTTCTCCTGAAAGCATGTGAGCCCTTGGCCTGTGGGGCTTGTGGAAGGAGCAGCCTCCAAATTGCACCCTTCAGGTGCCCGAGTGGTGCATAAACCTCCTGTTGGACCTCTGCTCAGGACCACATTTTACCTTAACATACAACTGGTGGCACAGAAAAGCAAGGCAATACAGCAGCTGCCAATTAACCCAGCCTAGCTGAGCTACAGGGAATATCCTTGTGTTGGATTCTAACACGCCATTTGATTGTGGCTGCTTCCCTTTCTGTCAAGTCAGCCTACTTCTTTGAGCTTTCAGACCCACACACTGATGTCACGAGGCTCTAATTAAGTCTACCCCCTTAGAAATTAAGAGATAAATGGTTGAGATGTAAACTCACATTTGTCAGTATTGATTTCATCTTTTAATTGAGGGGTGTAGTGTATCTGTCTTTTCCATACAGGGCAAACATTTGTGCTCTGATTATATCTACCTGTCTTCCCTAGATTAGTTGTGATGATGGGGGTGGTAGCGTGGCAGTGACAGAAATTACTTGAAACTCTACCTTTCAACTTACTTTAAATAGCAGTTTCACTATAAATTATTACCAGGGCTGTATTTTCAGCAGCTTTAAAAAGCTAATTAGCAACTAGAAACAAAAGGAGCTCTGAGCAGCCTGTGGCCACAGAGATCCCTCTAGCTGGTAAGCAAACACCTGCAGAGTGCAGCAGGACAAGACCTCTCTTAATTGCTCAGTGGAAAAAGCAGGGAGATGCTGATGTGAAAGTGCAGGTACAGGCAGTGAGGAGAAACATGCACATACTGAGTGCAGGGGAAGGCAGAGCACTTAAAACAGAGGGAACACAGAGGTTATCCCTGAATTCAGCTCTAAGTGAAACAGGGATCAAGCAGCATCAGTCCCTAACCAATTAATCTTGTATGCCAAGGTGTGCCTGCTTAGAGCAAAGCTCTGCCTAGTATTTAAGAGCCTTGGGAGGAAATGGCAGAGGGTTCAGATCTCAGGCTGAACAAGGAGGACTTTTAGGGACAAACGAAAAAAGACAATAAGCAAAGCACTGACAGCAGCTTAGGCCATACTTATGGAAATCCTCGATGCAATGGATGTTCCCGCCAGCATCCACAGTGAAGGGGATCCCATCCAGGCTGCGATGGCACATCACACAGGTGAAACAGTGGGGATGATAGGCCTTCCCAGTGGCTCGGAGGATCCTTTCCATGATGGGCTTTGCGCAGACACTGCATTGCTCCAAAGTATTCTGCAAAGAAAACATACACAACAGATGTGAGCACCATCTCAGTGGAACATCTACAAAGGTCAGCTGGGTTGAAGGCTGCTGCTGGTCTACTTGGAAGCTTTAGCCATTTCTTCTAGATAAGTGCAGTACAGTCAACAGTTATCAAAGACTATGATAACAGCACAGGGCCTGGGTCAAGCCTTTATATAGTGTGACAACACAAACCAGAGCCTTCTCTCAGCAGCTCTGATAAACGATCAGAGATGGCCCATCAGGTGGGTGTGTCAAACACTGCAGCTTCTGCAGCCAGTAGCACATGAAGGAGTTCTGCAGCCTGCACTCCTGGGCTTTTGCCTGTGGACTGCCCAGTCTGAGTGACCTTTTGCAGCGGAGATGATTAGAGACAAGCTCCAACAGCGATCAGTGCAAAGCTGAAGTGCAATCTCCTGGGGCCACACAGAGACCCCCTAACTGCTCTGCCAATACAGATCCCATAAAAATCTTTATCTGCCTTGTGTGAAAATCTTGATCTTCTCTCTCACCACAGAGAATACTGTTGAGTCTGGGGAGAGCGCAAAGCAGAGGCTGCAATGAAAGCATCACAAGGACAGGAGTTCAGGATGACTTAAATGGTTCATTTATCTCTGGCCCACAGTGTTTGAGATAATGACTGTGAAATGCCAGCTCTAAGGCCATGATCCTTGCTGCGCAGGTTTTACATATTGGACTGCTCCTGAAGTGTTGGAGCCAAAAAAATTCCCACCTTTCAAGTGGGGTCCGTTGAATGATTCAACTCATTTCAACCCTCACTCACCCCTGCAGTTAATTATAGAAACACCAAGATCATTTTGTTTCAGACGGTTGTGTGTGAGCCACACCAGCCCTTCTGACACCAGCTGGGTAACTTACCCTTTCAAACCAAGCACTTAAAGACACATGCCATAAATGGAGAGTGCAAACCACATAGGTGCAAATAATATGATTTGGATCATTTCACCGGACTTTAGGAAAGCAAACTTAATCTACCATTCTTGCTTCATGCACCTGAAGTTATCAAATAATGTCATCAATCAGCATTTGCACCTTGGGTGAGGGAGAAAAATCTATAAGTACACTACTGATTATCATTTAGATAGATAGAAATAAGGAGGGTGGAGAAATGAAAAAATCTAACAGGATAGAAGCATAAAAAGCTGCTGAAAGGCAGATCATGTTGACTAGCACAGGAGGGCTTAAGTTCTTCTGCTTCCTCATGCAACAAAATTCCCAGGGAAAGTAGTGCTTTGACTGACCGCATTGTTATTGTTTCTTTGAGCCAATATTCTCAGGGGCAAGATCCAGTCCTTACATGTGCAGCCAAAATGTATTGTCAGATGAATCACCCAGGAGCTCAGAAAGGTTACTTCTACATTCATACATTTCCTATCATACATATCTCTGGGCTGCACGTGACTGGTAATGTACAAACATACAAATACACAAGTTCATATCAGAAGATCAAAAGGATTGTTTTTGGAAAGGTCTATACGAAAAGTCCTGAATTTCAAACCATATGAGTACTGCCTCACAGATTTGTAAAGAGAGTAGAGCCAGACTAGCATTGAATTCAGACTGGATTTTGCTTTATACCTTGTAATAATGGGCAGGAAAGAATGACTGCTGGCCCTTCTGTTGGGTTGCTGTCACCATCATCATCATTATAACAGTAGCTGGTATGCCAGAAAAAGCAAGGTCAATAATTTTCTCCTTGGAGAAATAACCTGGCAAATTTGCCATTTTGCTTTGCATAAGCAGATCACATCATCTCAGTCCACATCCAAGCTGTTCTCTGTATTTTTTTGCCAAGGAAGGAATGCAGCATACCTGCGGATACTGATGGAAGATTGTGCCATTCATAAGGCGTTTGCTATGACACCTTCTGAATACACACAAGTACTTGGTTTGCCTCACCAAGTCACTGCTTGCTTCTTTTCCAACAGTTGCCAGCAACAGAGGCCAAAGTATGAGAACAGGGCTAGCAAAATACAGCAATTCCTTAGGATGTGCTTCCAGCCTCCACTGATTTCTGGTTTAGGGACTTCCTGAGACAGAGCTTGGCTTTCCATATTTTGCCTCAAGTGGCATGTTTCTCCCACGAACTTTCTTGACAATTTTTGAATTCTGATAAACACTGAGCACCCACAACATGACCAGGAGTTCCCTGGCATACAACCACATTGGGGGCCGATCAGCCCAGCAGTTCCCCTGGTCTGCTACCACTGCCTAGGGACAGGCCCTCCAGACAGCAGCACTGAGCACAGCCCGTGCAGGACTGTGAACAGAGCAGAACCCTGCAGCACCAATCCACCCTGCAAGGGGATTTAGCACCAAACACCATGGCCTGGAACTTCTCTCACTACAGCTCTAACTCCTGCTCACACATTTCAGATACACTGAGTTTAAGACTGCAAGGGATCATTAGAACCATCTTGTCTGAATTTTCATGTTAACATTGACTTCGGTGGGAGTTTCCCAGTGACCAGGACAGCAGGCAATCACCCTTATGGGTTATGCCTTCTGAAAACACACATCTTCTGCTCCCAAATCTCAGCTCAGTCACACTGTTTGACATTCTCGCAGCTAAGTAAGACAAGCATTTTAAATTAACCAACTCCCGATTAAACCTTCTATACAACCTGAAAACTAGACCTGAGAAATTTATTCTTTTCATCCTTCAAAGTCTGTACCAGTGAGGAAAAACAAAGTCATTAGTTTCAGACTCCAGCTCACTCCCTGTCTGGGAGTGTATTTGCTTAAGTCACTCTCCTTGCTAGAACCCTGGCTCAGACCCTTCTCTTCAAGGTGTTACCAGATGATGCCAATGGGAAAGCTTCCTTGATTCACACCCATTTGACATCAGGTTGCTGTAAGGCAGGATTTGGCCTGTGGAGCTAACAGAGTTTTCTTTGACTCTCTAATCAGGTTATCCCACATGCCAAAGTGCTGCCCCAGCAGCTAACAACCTGCACAAAGGTATTTCTGCACATTATGAGAACAGCATCCCTGTTGGATTATAAATTTGGCTTCTTGATTTTGCTCTCTTTCACAGTTTAGCTAACTCTCCTAACACCTCCCGGAGCTTACAAATCTACAAAAAGCCAAACAAGATGAAGAAAAATGCCTAGCAGCCCTATTTTTTTTCTTCTCTCCCAAGCTGTTGTTACAAGCCCTCTCTGTAATCAACAGGTAGAGCTGAGTGCTTCTGATCAGCTACACCAAGGGCTAAGGCAAGGCGCAGAGAAGAAAGATGAGAAACAGTCAGGAAAAATCAGGCCTAGGGGCTGTGGTCAAATTCATAAGAATATGGACCACAAATCCAGTGTGGGCTGAGGGGTAGATTTATTATCCTTTTCCCATATTTTGTCTAAGAAGCAGGGAGTGCCCTTCTTTTTTAGAGAGACTTGTGTCTCCAAATCCAATCTAGACTTGAAAAGCGCAGGGAAGGAACCATCCATTTCTAAATGGAAGGTTGGCACAATGTTAAAAGCTGAGTCTGGGTCCATGTTTTTTGAAGGCAGAACTGCTTACCCACGGCAAAGAAAAAGAATTGCACATGGAGAGAATAATGCACCCTAAAACAGCAGCCAGAAAAATAACACCAAGCAAAGGTACAGTAAAACACAAAGAAAGAACTGAAATGACCAGGGTATCAAGCATCAGCTTGCAAGTAAAAACTCAGAGACTTAAACATGTACAACGCAATCAGTGGCAAAGTGGGAACAAGCTGCTTGGGACCAAGCATCTAGAAGCAAGTGGTGGTGGGATTTGTTTGATCTCCCTATAGCAATACTTGTTCCTTCAGAAACCACAGAAAGCCAAAGGGAATCACTCTGCAGATGTTAGGTTTAAACATGGGACATGAAGTGAAAACCCAGACTGCTGGGAAAGACTTCTGGGTTGCAAGAGCCACAGAAGACTGGAGCTGGGAAGTGTCTGAATCCCCTCCTGAAAATTTCACATCCCAGATGGCAAGGTGACAAACAGCTTTGGGGAGCAGAGGTGCAGTGACAGCCTATGGGCTGCAGCTCATCCTGCTTCCTTAATGCTGCAGATTATAACCCATCATAACCAAATTCTGGGTGACAGCAGTAACTCACAAGGTCGTGCAACACAAGGACACTCCCACAATGACCTAGCAATGAGTGCACAAGAAGAGCCACACAGACGCTTAGCCATTGCTTCTTCTGTATTGGCACTGCATCCCAAACTCTAATGAACATAAATAATCTCTCCTGCACTCTGAACAGCAGACAGAGGAGAGCTCATGCACAGGGACATGAGCATCATACTGCTTATTTTGCTCAGAGAGGGGAGGGAAGTTGCTGGAATAAATTACATTGGCAACTCATGCACAGGGACGCAAACTCACTTTCTGTGAGCACTGCAGGAGAAACACATTTTTCGAAGTGACTGAGCAGAGGAGATGGTATTAAGCTGCATGAATCAAAAGTGACTGTTGTGCTAAAAACAGGCACATGGTCAAATACTATAGTTGAACTGTAACTTAGGAAAGTGTGGTAAGTGACTTGCTTTAAATCTTGTGACTCCGTCCTTCATTTCCTCAGACGGCAAGGAGAGCAGAGCAGCAGATATTTTCCCCTTTGTGGGATAATTTTTGAGGCTTGAAAATGTTTCCATACTTAAGTGAAGACAGAACACTTTAATCTCAAGAAGTCTGGTGAATTTATAAACCCCAAATTAGATCAGGTCAATTGAAACAGTGCACTTCAAATAATTTCAAATGGTTTCATTTAGGTTTTGGGTCTGAAAATATATAGTTGGGTTACAAATTATATATAAAGCAGACACTGGTGGAGGGGTTAAGTGTCAAGATGTAATTTCAACAGTTTCAAACACTTTTTTGGCATTATTTCTAGAAAAGGAAAATCCAAGACCCGATTTCCACCTCAGGCTCCCCATCTGCTACCTCCACAGATGGGTAAATCTTGGCAAACTAACATTTAAGTCACTAAAAGCCATCA